CAGCTCCGCCGACGCTGCGCCTGAGCTGCCTGCGTGCTCCTCTGAGCCCCGGCTCTCGGTGCGGGCGGCGAGAGACCAGGCTCCCCGAGCCTCTGGCCAGACAGAGGCCGCAGGCACAGGGTGGCCACTTCCGCAGCAGCGAAACAGGGCCAAAAGCAAACCCGGTGGACGTGGGGTGCGGGACGGGCCTCCGCCCCACCCGGTGCAGGGGCTCTCCGGTGGCGCAGGCCCCAGCATCCCCCGGGGCCCCCGAGTCTGTGGACCGGGGTGGGGTCTCGTCTCGGCATGCGTGGGCTGCAACCCACGGGCCCCCCAGTCCAAGTGGCCCAGACAACGGGGGTTTCGCTCTCTCGCGTGGTGGGGCCCCGGGGAGCAGGCCCAGAGGGCGCGTCCCCCGGCTCCGCCCCGCCTGCCGGGCTGAGTCCTGTCAGCGCAGCTGCTGACCGCGCCTGGCCGCAGCGGCCCCGGGGGATGCGGCGCCTTCCGCGGGCCAGTCCCCGGGGTGGCCGAGCGTGGGCTGCGCAGCCTGACCGTGCCGTCTCTGCTGGTCCTCACGTCCCCCAAAGCCCTCTGACGGGGAATCTCCAAAGAAAACCAGCAAGATTTTACGGGCAGGCCGCTTCCTCGGGTCACCAGTGACCAGGTGTGCAGTCCCCAGCACTCTGGACACCCGCTGTGATCGGGAGGCCACGGCCGTGCCTTATCAGCACGCACGAGTAAAGGGCTGACCTCGGGGAGCCGGCCGGCTTCTTCACTGTGGACGGAAGGGGCGACGCGAGCCCTGTCCGCACAGCGGTCAGCGCTGGCACAGACGGCGGGCGTGGGGTGTTCAGCCCTTGACATCATGAGCGGGGCGTGGGGAGGGGGAGGGCCAGGTAGAGGAGGGTACTGCACCCCGCCTGCATCCTGGGGTCCTCTTGACCCACCCTGGGCCCTTCCCACCTCTTGAAAATGAAAGGCTGGATGGCGTCCTCTGTTTTCCTTTTCAAGGGAGGTAACCCCCCCCCCCAGCAGTCACCGTGCCAAGGCGCAAGGCTTGCAGGGCTGTGTGGTGGCTGGTTCCAAAGCACGTTCTCGCCCGCGGAGGGAGAGCCCCCACCTTTCAGAGACAGAACCCCAGGTTCCAGTAAGAACTTGACGCATCCAGCTGTGAAAAGACACTCCCGGCTGCAACGATGTTAGGTCACAGCGTGAGTGTGGGACAGCTAAATATTTGTCCTCGGCAAACACCGCGGGGTGGATGACCAGGACTGCGGGCAAATGATCCCTGGCCAGTCAGTCCCAGCTGGACGGTGTTTCCCTGTGGAGACTTCCAGGGGGGCTGCCCGGTGCCCCTGGAGTGGCTCTGGCCGTGGAGGCCGGCACGGACTCGGGCAGACCTGGGCTCCGGACCGCTCTGCTGGGCCCTGTCACCCGGGAAACGCTGTGTGCGCGTGTGCGCGTGTGCGCGTGTGCAGGTGTGCGCGTGCGTGCACGTGTGTGGGTGTGTGCATGTGCGGGTGGGGGTGTGCATGTGCATGTGTGTGGGTGTGTGCATGTGCGTGTGTGAGGGTGTGCACGTGCATGTGTGGGCTGTGCAGATGTGCACGTGTGTGCATGTGTGCGAGTGTGTGCGGGTGTGCGCATGTGCGAGTGTGTGGGGTGTGCGCGCGTGTGCGGGTGTGCACAGGTGCGAGTGTGTGACTGTGCACACGTGTGTGCGTGTGTGCATGCGTGTGCGTGTGCGGGTCGCATGTGTGCACGTGTGTACAGGTGTGCGTGTGTGCGGGTGTGCACAGGTGCGAGTGTGTGACTGTGCACACGTGTGTGCGTGTGTGCATGCGTGTGCGTGTGCGGGTCGCATGTGTGCACGTGTGTACAGGTGTGCGTGTGTGCGGGTGTGCACTGCGTGCTCGCGTGTGCGGGTGTGCGCGGCACGCGTCCCTGTGCGTTCAGGTTCCTGCACCGAGGGGCCACCCGTCAACCTTGGGGGGCAGGGGCGGGCCCCCCGCCGGTGAACTGCCCCTCCGGACTCCGCTGCCGGGGCTCAGCCGCGGGGACCGGCCGCGCGGGCGGCTCCACCTGTCCGCGGGCGGCTCCACCTGTCCGCGTGCTGACCTGAGCACGCCGGCAGTGGGCCGAGGCTGCGGGCGCCCCCGCGCCCCTTGAGGGAGGGCACCGCCGGGTGCTCTGGGGCGCGGACCCAGGTCTTGGCGCTTGGGGTTTGTATCGGACTCCGGTGACGCAGACGCGGCCGCCGGGCGCAGTGACTTGGCCGGCCGCGGAGTGGGGGCCCCGCACGCCCCGAAAACTTAAACCTTTACTCTCCGGCGGTTCCGATCCCCCCTGACACAGTTCATAACTCACCGCACGGCAGGCGCCTCCTCTGAGGCCTCGGCGCCCTGCGGCCAGGCTCCCCCTGCCAGGCTCCGGGGCTCCGCTCAGCCCCCGGCAGGTCAGGCGTGTGTCGCCTTCGGAGACCAGGGGACCCCGTTTTCCAGGGCCTGGTCTTTTTTCTTTTCCTTGCAACAAAGTATCTGGGCTCAGAGGTTTAGACCTTAGGCCTTGTGACAATACTTACCGAGACCTCGAGAATCGGGAGGTTTCCTGGCAATTACCCCAGAATGGCAAATGCACCTACCTCCCTGAGCGGGCCCCTCCCCCCCGAGCCACCCTAAATGTATGCTCAAAAATCCTCTGGGGGTTCAGCTGAGGGTCCTGGGGGTTTCGCAGCAGGGCAGCAGTGTGTCCACCCCCAACCGCCTGGAGTCCACCCCCGTTTCAGGAAGGAAACTCAGGGGCAGATGGGGAGAGGTGCTGTCTCCATCAGGCTCTTGACAGTGTTCCCTGAGTCCCCCTTGGGGCTGGGCCCCAGGGGCCAGGGCGGACTGCTTTTGGGTGCCAGCAATTTGTTTACCCCAGTCAGCGTTAGTCAACTTGCAGCTCAGTGCTGGCCTTCAGCATGAGGGATGGGCAGGGGAGCTCACCGCCCTTCCTTTTTTAGTATTTATGTATTTTTGCACACGCAAACTGGGGTACAGGCCAGAGGTTCAGTGGGGGGAGCGAGGACTCACCCGAGACACAGTGGGCAGCAGAGCATGTGGATCTACTGAAAGCCAGGGCTGAGGGGAGCAGCGGGGAGACAGGAGGGGCCTGCCGCGCCCTGGGGTCCCTCCCTGGCCGGGGCTCGGACTCGGGCGGGGGGGGCTGCGGACGGCTTCACAGCGCTGCGCTCTGACCCCTGCGCCCCAGGGGGACCCCACCCTTTCATTTTAATTGAAGTAGGGGTTTCCCTTCGGAGGACGCAGGAAGCAGACACTGAACTCGTGGGGAGCATTCCCAACTGCGAAGAGGTTGCAAGTTCTCGCTTCTGTCCTGGATCGGTGTGCTCGGCCCGGAATCAAGCCGCAGTGGGTCCTCCCGGCAGGTGGGCGTGCGCTCCGGCGGCCGGGCGGCTCCACGTGGCGCACCGGAGGGGCTGACCCCACGACGCCACGTGCCACGGGGGTCCCTCCACACGCGGCACACCGTGGCCGAATTTCGGTCAGACGTGACCTGACCGGTGACGTGTGACACATGCGAGTGACCTAAATGGTAAATATTTAAGACTAAACAAAACAGTTGATGTGGTATTTGCAGGGAGAGAGCCAATCGACCGGACAGAAACAGGGACAAAGGCGCAGGGGCGGGTGGGGCCTCGGCGTGGGCGTGGGCGCCTGGGGGCCG